TTGTTGCTCCAGCAGGAGTTATCAAGACTTTGGAAAAAATAAGGCGAAGGTTCCTATGCGGTGATGCAGATGAGAAAAAACACATCAACTGGGTGGCATGGGATAAAGTGACTGCCCCAAAAAAAGTTGGCGGTCTGGGATTAGGCTCGCTTAAAGCTCTCAATTTGTCCCTAATAGTGAAGTGGTTGTGGAGGCTGAGATTCGAAAAAGCAGGCTTATGGTCCAATGTCATAAAAGGGATCCATAATCTTCACAATAAACCATTTGCCCTCATGTCTAAAAAAACAATACTTGGAATATGGAAAAATATCGTCGGAGCTCAAGATGAACTGGTGAAACTTGGAGTTGATATAAATGATATAATCTCAAAAAAAAATTGGTAATGGGGATGACACCATGTTTTGGCAAGACAGATGGTTTGGCGAAGCAACATTAAAAGAATCCTTCCCAGAGCTATACAAGTTGGAACGGAAAAAACGGTGTAAAATAAGTGATCGTATCAAACTAGGAGGGATCATCTGGGATTGGAAATCAAGTCCGACTCTCACGACCCAACTTAGTGAGGCTGACACGCTATTCGACATGGTCTGCAATATTCACTTGAATCCACGAAGAGATGAATGGATATGTGATATATCAAGCGATAAGGTATTTCATGTAGAAGTTCTTAGATCAAAAATTGATGGGAGAGATACAACAACACCAACACGGGAATGTCTAATGAATTGGATCCATGAAGTCCCACTAAAGGTGAACTGTTTTATGTGGAGGGTATCTATGGACCGTATCCCCACTTCTATTGCCCTACTTAAGCGTGGTGTACAAATTGGGACCTCCATATGTTCATATTGCGAGTCGGAAGATGAAGACGTCAACCATGTAATACTAAGATGCCCAATGGCTGCCAAGGTTTGGGAATGGGTGTTCATCTGGTGTGGGCTACCTAGAACAAAGTTTGGGTCAATTGGCGAGCTTGTGAAATTCCTTTCACAATGGGGAACATGCCCAAATAAACGGAAAAACTTAATTAGCATATGGTATGGAACGACTTGGCTCATTTGGAAAGCAAGGTGTGATCGGGTTTTCAAGAAGACACGAACCTCCCCTACCATAGTGGCGGATAAGGTCAAATCCATAGCCTTCTCATGAATAAAACACAGGAGAGTCAATTGTAACTATTGTTGGGTCGATTGATGTATTAATCCCTTTCTTTGTATGTAATTTTCTCCTCTAAAACCTTGTATTCCCTCCCTAGCACCTTGCTAGGGGTATGTTTTGTTTCTTTTTAATAATATTTGTCGGTTCCAAATTTTTTTTCATATGAGAGTTGATGCATTCATAATTGGGTCGTAAAATACTCAACTAACAGTTTCGATATCTGAATCTTCCTATTTCTCATAACATATTATGTGTCATTTAGGTTAACTTAGTTAAACTTTTATATATATATATATATATATATATATATATATATATATATATATATATATATATATATATATATATATATATATAGAGAGAGAGAGAGAGAGAGAGAGAGAGAGAGAAAGATGCAAGATCAACTGAAAAACAAAACATTGATGAGAAACGTGAGAAATATACTATATGCACGTTGATGAAACAAGTAAATAAATCATTAGATTATACAAAAATAATGAGATAGAAAATTTGGTCGAAAAAATGCTTATTATTTTTTTATTGACTCAAATAATGATTCTTTAATCGGACAACATTAGTGGATGATCCAAAAAAAATGAATATTTGAACAGCTTTTTGAGAGATTTTTTTATGAATAATCTTATTTTCGTATTATTTAATAATTCAGGTCATTGGTTCAGCAAAATAAATGAATTTGATTTATTTCTCATGATATCTCATGTATTTTTGTTTCTTTTATACTAGGTGTGAAACCCGTGTAATACACGGGTTGACTTAAAAAATATTAAATATTAAATTAAAGTGTAAATATAAAATATTTTTAATGTACAACTTTAAATAAGATTTAAATGAAAAAATATATTTATTGCAATTTAATATCATATATATGATATTTAATACTTTACATATATAAGTATATGACTTTAATTTTAAAAATTGAAACAAATCAAAAATTAACAAGTGGATAATATTTATTTCAAAAATACCACAAAATGACAAGTGTCAAAACTCATGAGAGATTAACATGTGACAAAAAAACCTTCATTTATTAAGGAGTATATATATATATATATATATATATATATATATATATATATATATATATATATATATATATGCATTTTTTTTGGCGAACCAAAAATGATGAATAATTAGATGAATAAAAAGTAACATGATTGAAAAAAAAAATCCTGAAAAAAATCTCCATAAATCATTTTTGTGATGATTTTGTTGTTATTGGTTAAAAACGTCATGAAACACAAAAATGAATTATGAAAGTGTTTTTTTGTGATTTTTTTTTGGTGGATCATCTTACGTTTGATTCACCTAATGATAATTTTATTGATTCACTAAAAAATATGTATATAAAAAATTTATTATCTTCCTACAAAAAACTTAATTCTTATTTGATCTTGATTATATATACACACACACACACACACACACAAGAGAGAGAGAGAGAGAGAAAAAAGAAGTAAATTATTTTGATGATCAATATTTGTGCGAGAACCTAAGTACTTCTAACTGAACCAACATTTTTTCGAATCCAACACCACTATTGGACTTCAAATGCTATGTCTAATCCATATCAAAGCGAAAAAATCGACCATCTTAATGTGCATACATGTATATTTTTTATTTTTTATTTAATTTTTTTTTTCAAAATGAACACAACCATGAGACTTTAAGGCCAATGTTTAAAACAATTACATCTTGAAAGCGCCAAAAAAACTATAAATATTCAAATATGCATATTTGATGCATATTCAAATGTGCATATACACATATCAACAAATAAAGAGTTCAAATATTTTTTTATCCCAGATCTTGCTTAGACACAACATTTAGAATCAAATAGTGGTGCTGATTTTAAAAAGGATTGATCAACTTAGGAATTCTCTAGTTTCCAGGCATATATTGGTTCCCAAAATTATATATATATATATATATATTATATATATATATATATATATATATATATATATATATATATATATATAGAGAGAGAGAGAGAGAGAGAGAGAGAGAGAGAGATACTTACACATAGTAGGTTAGAGACCTATTATTACATGAATTGACAACGGAGAAAATTAAACTACATAGAAAATTTAAGAGATTGAATCGTCGTAGATGTTGATCGATTTTCTTTTTTCCTTTTCAACTAATTTGTGTTCGTCTAGGTAAATTTGAAAGAATAATAGTTTAGCATCACCCCAAGTAAAGTATACTTGTTTTATAAGTTTTTATTTATTGACAATTTAGTTTCTAAATCCTTAACCATTTTGTTCATTTTCTAACAATTTATTTGAGTTGTAGATTGAATATCCCAAAACCAAAAATTCTAATAGGTAGATTTGTGTTGGTTTTATATTATGTTAGGAGTAATAAATTGATTTGTATTAACTAGTTATTTTATGTTTAATTTAGTAGGGAGAATGATGTTGATTTTTTTTGTTTAGATTTAAAAGTTTGTAAATCTTCTCGTAAATGTAATAATATATCAAATTGATAATAAAAAAGTTAATTCACAAGAAATAGCATCATACTTTATTCAATTGATCAATATTAGCAATGTACTAATACAACAAATTTTGTATTGTCTAAACTATAACGCATGAATAAGGAAACTTCTGTAAGTATAATGTTTTGTTTGGTGTTTTAGAAAAAGAAAGACGCTAAAAATATAGCTTTTTTAAAAGTAGGATGCTAAAAAGTTTGATTTATGTAATGTAAAGAAACATAAATAGAAAGCTATAATAAATTATGAATTACAATAAGTTGTTAATTCTTGTATTTGCGATAAAAGTTACGAAATAGTCCCTGTTAAAGTATTTCAGAAATTATCATTGTATGTGCTATAAAAAGGAAATAAACCATTTCACATGACTAGTTCATGTTTAAAAAAAGTTATAGAGTTTGACAATCTTAAAAAATTGGGAAAATACCGCCAATAGACAAAAAAATAGGGGGCAATTTCAAAATTTAGTCATAAAAATGACTTTCCGGCTATAGACATGCATTCCGTGGACCTTCGCGGACCGAAGTTTCCTCTGCGGAGAGGGGTATTTTTGTCATTTCTCCATCTGCTCTTTGACTAAATCGAACCCTCGTTTTTGGTCCCCCCCCCCCCACTGGTCCCCCGAATCCTCTTTGACAAAGACAATCCTCCACATCAACTTACCATCGACGATTCCGGCGACACCTACATCAAATCCGGCGACGACATCAAACGACGTCATTTTCCGGCGACATCGATTACATACAACTTCAATTTCGAACTTAAATTCTGGCAGTTATGGAGGACAATTTCCCTGATATTTTGGCCGACGGATTTAGCTCCCGGGTATTTCTCACATTCTTTTCTTTGGATTAATGTAGTATACGTATGAAATTTGTTGAAACCGATTTGATTACGTGGAATATATAGGTAAAATATACATATTTAAATGAAATCGAGTTTGACAGGTTTCGGATTGGGTATGATCAATTCCGCGGAGGCGTAGGTCACTCTGCGGAGGGTTACGTACCTTCCGCGGAGTGATGTATTTTCTCCATGGAATGCTAAAATGGAATAAAATTGGGCCTCCGCGGAGGTATTGGTCAATCCGCAGAGGGTTCTCCGTGAAATGACCTGAAACTGATTTTTCAAAATTTTTTCTGCCGTTTTTTCTGCCCTTTTATATGAAATTAAATGTTATGCTTTGGAGCACAAAGATCTCAATCAAAAAGTGGATTTAACTTTAAAAGGTGTGGTGGGTACTATCATTATAGACTATTTTCCGCTCCTAACACAATCACAACGACAATTATTCGAAGCTTCGCCGTTCGTAGTATTCTTAGTAATGCATATCCCACATGGTGATCCGTTACTTGTGCATTTGATGATGTTTCACGAAGTAAGGTGTCAACACGTATTTGAAATGGGGAGGTTTCTTTTTGATATACATGGGACACATTTGGATTTTGGTGAAACTGAATATATTCTCATTTGTGGTTTAAAAGTTGTTCCTTATGTGGATTTACTCCACGACGAAAAAGGTCGGTCATATTCAAATCTTCGTTCTCGGTTGTTCCCAGATATTTATGATGTACGTTTGCGGCTGAAAGATTTAGAAGACTTGATTATGTCCCCGAATTATTTGGCACTACAAGATGAAGATGATGTGATGCTTATCCAGCTTGTTTTTATGTTGAAGGGTCTCCACAGACGAGACGTTAAAACGGATATTCCCGCAGCAGTATACAAGCTTGCTGATAATAAAGATGATTGGAATAGGTATTACATTTAAAAATTGTGTATAAATGCAATGCAATAATAATTAGTATAATAAATAAATTGAAAATTGCAGGTTTGCATTGGGTACGTATTTATGGACCTATACTTCGTGTTTGATGCGTGAAATGTTTAAGAAAATAGAAGAGTTTAGAATATTCAAGCAGGCCAATCCCGAATCCAAGAAAGTACACAAGTATATCGTTCTCGATTTTATGCTTCCGTTTAAGATTACTTTCTAATGCATTTAAATAGTTATCAATGTTTAGTTTTTTATAATATAAAAACTTTGAACTTCGGTTTGTATTATATAATAAGTTTGTATTATGACTTTTATAGTATAATAGCATGATAATTACATTTTTTTTCATAGATATGAATTTTGGAGATGTTGCCAGAGGCAACCCAGTTTTATATACGCACGCTGACAGAATCGCCACATATGAAGGCGTGGAGAAGTAAAACATCGTTATCCTAGCTTCAATGTTGTCGAATAATCAACGTGTATGTGCTATGCTTTTTATATTAACAATCATCTATAGTTACAAATTCCAATGTATTTAATGTTAAACTAACAATCTGATTTATGCAGCCTAACAACCAACCTATTAATGTCATGGCAATCCCGGAGGAGCTGATGTTGTTGTTTTATGTTCGCTATGTCAATTGGACTCTTAACCCTGTAGAGTCTCCCCCACGGCAACATAGTCCGGTCCAAAATAGTCCACTTGTTATTGTCTCGCCTGCTCGAAGAAAGATGTACAAGTCCGAAATAGAAACATCTTTGACAGAATCTGACACAAATGCTTCTTCCTTGCAACATCTTGAAATAGAAACAATGTATATGTTAGACGACACATCAAGGTTGGTAAATAAGAAGAAGACGAGCACAAAGACATTAGTGAAGCGTCTACTAGGTGTTGTGCTTGACTTAACTTCTAAAGTAGACTGTGTATTACAGAAAAAAGATGAAACACACAGAAATGTTGAACCAGACAGAGGGTTTCGAGAGGAGGAGGAGGAGGTGGATGAGTAGGAGATGATAAATGAAGAGGAGGAAGAAAAATATTACAATGATACACATTTGCATTATGATGATATAGTTACTCATGGTTTGGAGGGGGAATTTGGACCTACACCTATGCATGTTGAGCCGTCATCGGATGTGGGTGAACATCACACAAAAGAAATGAATCCTATTATTAGGCCGCAACGAAAGAGGGGTGTTCCATGGTATCAGCGGACTCCGTTCACAGTGATACAAAACTCATATTTTAAATTTGGTATATTTTTAAAATATTAACGTATTGATAATTATTTAACATGTTAATTTTTTAGTTGCAATCCACACCAAAATTGAAGAAATTCACCAAAGCAAAGAAAAAAAAGTAGTGGAGAGTCCTGAAAAAGCAAATGAAGACATTGTGAATAAAGAGAGTAATGACGTTTCAAATTATCTCCTGCTCGATAGTGTTGAAGCTGCGAGTTTGTTGACTTTTTGGAGAGAATGGAATACAATCTATTCCAACTTGAACACTAAACATAGGTTGCATATGATCACACTGGATGTGGAGTTTTGGTCGAGGTTACTTGCAGTTACTGATGTTGGGTGGTTATTTTCATCGGTAACATTCGTTAAATATAAAATTTAACTACATTTTTAGATGATAATTTTTATAAAAAATTGTAACATTTTTATCTTAAAATGTACATCATATTGCGATATGAAGTGCCTTGTTCATGGAAAGGCGGCCGTCGAACGCAAGGTGGACGATATTCCCTCAAGAACTCAATTTGCAAAATGGAAAATCATTTTTTCTTAGGTATATAGCAAAGGGTGTTGGAGGTCATCCTAAATGGAAGGATGTGGATATGGTTAGTTAAGTTTATTAATTATTTACTTTATTTAGGAACTGAATTTATGACTATTTTTGTAACATCCGGATTTTACCAGGTATCTTGTAAATCTAATTTTGTCATATTGTGTGAGGGACTCGGCGAGTTGGAGCTCAGAATCGCCGAGTAGAGACGCGGAATTGAACATTGGTGCGCGCCTGGACTCGGCGAGTCTGCGCTGTGTAATGAAACCCTAAATCTCCGGGTTTGAGGCCTATTTAAAGGGCCTTATGGCCGTCATTTGTGCTCACCCAACCCTCAGTGAGTGACCTTTGTGTTCTTGAGCTATTTGTGAAGAGAAAGGAGCCATTCTTGATCTTGTGTGTGTTATTTAGCAAGAAGAAGGAGACCCTAGGCAAGAGGAAGCAAAGGAGGTTGCTATTTCGTGGATTTGGAGCTTAGATCATCACTCTAGAGGTATTATCTCGGACCATTTTCTGTTTAGTGAAGCATGATGCAATTTAGGGCTTGTGGTGGTCATTTATGGGATGATTTGATGCCCATTGGTTCCCTCTTTGAGTTGAGGCCATGGATCTGGATCCATAGAGGTCCAGAGAGCCTCACTCATCAAGCTTTATGAGTGACAATAGAGTCTTTGACCTTGTGTTGTAGTATTTGAGTCATAAACATCATATATGGTCATATAGAGGTTGTATGTGCATCAAGATTGTAACTTTACGTGCTAAATGAGCTTGGAGGGACTGGATCTATGGATTAATGAACTGGATCTGACCTTTAGAGCAAGATTGAGTCAGTGCATGGCATGGACTCGCCGAGTCCGAAGAACAGACTCGGCGAGTAGCATGAATGTTGCCCGACCACACTGTGAGTGGCCTCGCCGAGTTGGGAAAGGTGGACTCAGTGAGTCAAGGGGGAGTCAGAATGGACAGGTGGACTGAGTCTAACTGGACTCGCCGAGTTGTTCTTGAGACTCGGCGAGTTGAGTCGTGGTGGCCCCACAACTCGTGCCAGGTGGAACTCGTCGAGTTGAGGGAATGCTCGACGTGTCAAGGGAGGATTCCAGGGAAATTGGTGTACACGCCCAGACTCGCCGAGTCGCCTGGGTACTCGCCGAGTCCGGTCAAAGTTGACCGTTGACCGTTGACCAGCGTTGACCTAGATTGACTTGTTATAGTGTGGTCAACCCTAGTTGGGAAAGTGTTAATTAGAGGTGTATTGTGCTATAGGGGGACGACAGCTCGACAGGTCGAGTGATTAGCGATTTCAGGTTTACGATTTACCGAGACACGCGAGGTGAGTCTTCTCACTATACTTTACCTTGAGTAGGTAACCAGAGTTATGTGATAGAGTATTTGTATGCTATGTATGTTATGTGTTGTACTGCATTACTTCTATGTGTTTGATGCTGTGCATGTTTACAGAGTTAGAACCGGAAGGTTCACAGAGTTAGAACCTGAGGGTTCACAGAGTTTGGGTGCACGGACCCACAGAGTTATAGCCTCGAGTGGCTAATATGTGTTATATGTAGTATTTTGGGGAACTCACTAAGCCTTGTGCTTACAGTGTTGATGTTATTGTTTCAGGTACTAGTGACGACCGCGGGAAGGCGCCGGCTTGATCCGTACACACACACATTCGGAGCTTGATATCATGATCTTGGGATTTTGTATTGTCTTGTTTGGATAATTAAAATGGTTGTTTAATGAATATCAATGGAATTATGTTTTATAAAAATTGAAAAAATTTGTTTTGAAAATTTTCGGTGTTACAAATTGGTATCAGAGCCTTGGTTTGAGGGATTCGGGTACACCTTCGGGGGTATTTGAACTCAAACTGAGGAATTGAAGAGATATTTCAAAATAAAACCAAAGTTTTCTAAGAGTAAAAGATTTTCCAGGAAGAAACGTGTGTACGATCAGCCAGCGCCCGAACGGTGAATTCCCAAAATACCTTTATATTATGTGATAATTATTATTAATGTGATGTATTTGCATGCTAGAGTAGGCTAGGTATTGCTAATAGGACTAGAGTGGCCTGTTTTGTGATGCCTTAGCCTAGGGAGGGGTGAGCTGCTATGAGATGCTGAGAGTAATTAGGTAGCAGCTAGGACTTTGTGTGAGACCTGTTACAGAGTGATTTAAGTATAATAGAGTACTTGGGGATTGGGATCCGAAGAGGAAGATTTGGGGTGTGTACTGAGACGGTGCGGACAGTAGTATTGGGCCCGTACTACTGAAAGCACCGGTGCGGTACACAGTCCAAATAAGAATCTTGGGATACCAAGAATCAAGGAGGGGTGGATTGTCGAATGTAAGAGTGTTCGAGTAAATTCTAATTATCGCATGTTGTATTTCAGAGGTTGATCATGGTGAGGACACGTCACATGCCGGAGGATGCCGGAACTAGCGATGAGGAGATTCGACAGATCATTCATGAGGAGGTGGCTGCGGTCATCAGAGCTGAGTTACCAGAGATGTTCGGGTCCATTAAGACCGCGTTGATTGAGACATTTGACGAGCGCTATGCCGCTCTTTCTGAGGCTGCGGTTGCAGCGGCTACCGCAGCGATTGCTGCGGCAAGACCCCAGGGAGGTGATGCGACATTGTTTAGGGAGTTCAGCAACACCAAGCCACCAGAGTTTGATGGTACGCAGGATCCGGTGGCAGCTATGAGGTGGATATCTGATATGGAGGGATGCTTCTTCACTTGCTCGTCCCCTGAGCATTTGAAGGTTCGGTTCGCGCTGAACCAGCTTCGCTTGGGAGCGAAGGACTGGTGGAAGTTTGTGACGGCACACTTCACACCGACTGAGCTTTCGGCAGTGACCTGGGAGAGGTTCACTACCATGTTCCGAGATGAGTACGTTCCTCAGGTGGAGAGGGAACGTCTGACACAGGAGTTTCTGACCCTCAAGCAGGGTACCGAGTCAGTCACAGCTATTACGAGGATGTTTCATGAGAGGGCGATGTTCTGCCCTGAGCACGTGTCCACCGAGCAGGCACGTATGAGCCGTTACCTGAGCATTCTGAGACGGGATATTCGGGAGTTCGCTGCGAACTCCTCGTATCGGACATTTGCCGAGCTTCAGGCAAATGCTCGGAAGAGGGAGATTGAGCTTGAGACTCAGGCCAGGGAGGAGGCGGAGTCTCTGGGAGGGATCGGCGGCCGGCACAGTCCCAGCCGGCAGCCAAGCGGGCCAAGCCCGCTGATCCCCGACCCGGGAGCCAGAAGGGCCGCACTTGTGGAAAGTGCGGCAAGGGTCACGATGGAGTCTGTCGAGCGGGGTCTTGCTACAAATGTGGCAAGGAGGGGCATATGGCCAAGGACTGCCCCAAGGGGTTTACAGTGTGCTTCCACTGTAACCAGACCGGACACCGGAAGGCAGAGTGTCCGCTGCTGCGCGGAGCATCTCAGGGGTCTGCTCCCGCCGCCATCAGAGCTACTGCTACAGAGAGTCGGCCCGTGAAGGCCGAGGCACCGAGGGCTCGGGGGAGAGCCTTTCAGCTGACTGCGGAAGAGGTCCGCGCTGCACCCGACGTTGTGGCTGGTACGCTTTCTTTTTATTATTTATTTATGGTGTCGAGATATTATGCTTATATTATGCTATGCATAGGTACCTTCCTTGTGAATTCTGTACCTGCTTTAGTGTTATTTGACTCGGGTGCGAGTCGATCTTTTGTATCTTTGACATTTAGTCAGCATATCAGTGTTAGTCGTGGGGCACTGAGTCGGCCCCTGCGGGTTTCCATAGCCGCCGACAGAGTGATTTGTGCCACGGAGGTCCTCCGGGGATGTGTATTGGAGATTTTTGGGGTTGAGTTCCCGATCGACCTGATTCCTATTGCGATGGGTGATGTCTGTGTTATAGTGGGCATGGACTGGTTGAGCCGATTCGGCGCGGTTATCGATTGCGAGCGTCAGCTGGTGACTATACGAGATCCTAGTGGGGGAGTTCTTTCGGTTTACGGCGAGGGTACACGTTCTGGATCAGCCTTTTGTTCGGCTGCTAGGGCGAGGCAGTGTTTACAGCAGGGCTGTAAGGGTTTTGTGGCGTATGTGATGGATACGCGAGTGATCTCCGAGAGACCGAGTTCGGTGGATGAAGTTCCGGTGGTGCGTGAGTTTCCAGATGTCTTTCCCGAAGAATTACCAGGTGTGCCTCCCGTGAGGCAAGTGGAGTTTGGTATCGATTTGGTTCCGGGAGCCGCGCCTATCGCTAAGGTGCCGTATCGCCTTGCGCCTCCAGAAATGCAAGAGTTATCCTCGCAACTTCAGGAGTTGCTGGGGAAGGGGTTTATTCGGCCGAGTAGCTCGCCGTGGGGAGCACCCATCCTGTTTGTGAAGAAGAAAGATGGCTCGCATCGCATGTGTATTGATTATCGGGAACTGAATAAGTTGACGGTCAAGAACCGTTACCCGTTGCCGAGGATCGACGATTTATTCGATCAGTTACAGGGAGCATCTTGGTTCTCCAAGATTGATTTGAGGTCGGGCTATCATCAGGTGAGAGTACGGGACGAGGACGTCCAGAAGACAGCATTCAGGACGCGTTATGGGCATTATGAGTTTGTGGTGATGCCTTTTGGGCTCACCAATGCCCCGGCTGTGTTCATGGACCTCATGAACAGGGTATGTCGGCCGATGTTGGATCGGTCGGTGATTGTGTTCATTGATGATATTCTGGTATATTCGAGATCTAGAGAGCAGCACGAGGAGCATTTGAGGGAGGTTCTTGGAGTTTTGAGATCGGAGAAACTTTATGCAAAGTTTTCCAAGTGCGATTTTTGGTTGCGGGAGGTCCAGTTTCTGGGACATCTCGTTAACCAGAAGGGGATATTGGTCGATCCGGCCAAGGTTGACGCAGTGATGAGGTGGGAGGTGCCAAGGTCACCTTCTGAGATCCGGAGTTTCCTTGGGTTGGCAGGGTATTATCGGAGGTTTATTAAGGATTTCTCCAAGATTGCGG